TATGTTTGATATGGGCTGGAAGGCGTGGTCATATGGACTGTGAAGGTTGATGTGGGTAGGACCGGAAGGTTTACCCAGTCGGGACGGAAGTCCCCTGAAATACATGGACCGGAAGGTCAAGGCCTGGAAAGGCGTATGTGCGTATGTTGTATTTTGGGAACTCACTAAGCTTTATGCTTACAGTTGTTGCTTATGTGTTTCAGGTGCGAGTGAGGACCGTGGGAAGGCGCCAACGTGATCGTACACACACTCGGGGAAAACTATTTTATCTTTTGTTATGTAATCGTTGGAGACTATAATGTTATTTTGGAAATCTAAATTAATTGCTCATGTCTTAATGGTTGTAAAAAAATGAAAATTTTTGGTTGGAAATTTTATGACGTTACAGATCCATAAGCAGGTATAATGACAAGGGCACAACTTGATGCACGAAATGAGGTACTGAATAATCATCAAGAGTTATGCATGTTTAATGTTTTTATTTCCAAAATTGAACCAAAGACAGTTAAGGTTGCAATGGAACACTCTGATTGGGTTGTTGCTATGCAAGCTGAGTTGTCTGAATTCGAAAGAAACAAGGTTTGGAGATTAATTCCAAAACCTGTTGATGTGTCAATTGTTGGACTCAAATGGATTGATAAAAACAAAACTGACAAAGATGGAAACATTATTCGAAATAAGGCTATACTTGTTGTTAAAGGATATTCTCAACAAGAAGGAATTGATTACGAAGAAACATTTTCCCCTGTTGCAAGACTCGAGGCTGTTCGTATTTTTCTGGCTTTTGCAGCTCATAAAGATTTTGATGTCTATCAAATGGATGTAAAATGTGCATTCTTAAATGGAGAACTCGAAGAAACTGTTTATGTTGAACAACCTCCAGGTTTTATAAACACAGAACATCCTGATCATGTTTATGTTTTAGATAAAGCTGTATATGGGTTAAAACAAGCACCAAGAGCATGGTATGCAACTTTAACATCCTTCTTGAAACAATCTAAATTTAAACAAGGCTCAGTTGATCCCACTTTATTTCGAAAGAAAATTGGGAATCATCTGATGCTTGTTCAAATTTATGTTGATGATATAATTTTTGGCTCAACTGACCCTGCTTTATCTAAAGAATTCGAAGATCTGATGAAAAGCAAATTTGAAATGAGTATGATGGGCAAAATTAATAACTTTTTAGGTTTGAATATTCATCAAAACAGGGAAGGAATCTTCATTAATCAGGAGAAATATACGAAGAATTTGTTAGAAAAGTTTGGAATGACGAATAGCACAAGGTTACGAATACCAATGGCAACAGGCATAAAGCTAACTCCTTCGTTAGATAAATCAGCTGTTGATATTACTTTGTATCGAAGCATGATTGGGTCTTTATTGTATTTAACTGCAAGTAGACATGATATTATGTATTCTGTTTGTAATTGTGCAAGGTATCAATCAAATCCACGTCAACCACATCTAACTGCAGTAAAGAATATTTTCCGATATTTGAAAGGCACTACTTCGTTAGGATTGTGGTATCCTTCGAAAACAGGGTTCTTTGTACAAGCCTATTCGGATGCGGACCTTGGAGGATGTAGTCTTGATCGTAAAAGCACAACTGGTGGATGTCAATTGCTAGATGGAAAGTTGGTCAGTTGGCAATCGAAGAAACGAACATGTGTTTCAATCTCAACTGTTGAAGCTGAATATGTTGTTGCAGCTACGTGTACATCACAAATAATTTGGATTCAAAGTCAATTAAGAGATTATGCAATTAATCTGAAAAAGATTCCTTTATATTGTGTTTCACAAAGTGCAATAAGAATTTGTCATAATCCTGTGCAGCATTCGAAGACCAAGCACATTGCTCTTCGATATCATTTCATCAAAGATCATGTTGAAGAAGGAAATATTGAAGTTCATTTTGTAAAAACAACAGAACAATTCGCAGATATTTTTACAAAAGCTTTGGATGAAAAATCGTTTCCTCGTATCTTAGATGGATTGGGAATGATTGATGGAAATTCACTTCAATCTGATAAAAGCGAAGAGTGATGGGTCTGAATTATTTGGTGTATGGACGGAAAAGGAGATTCAGTGTTCAGAGGTTACTATTCATGGTCAACGCTTCGAACGCTTTGCATTCGGAAGTTTTTGAAATAAATAATCAGAGGTTATTGTTCAAGTCAATGGGTTGCATGCTTCGTATTTGTACACATTTCAACTAAGGTTAGATTTGTAGTTTGTTTATTTTTTTTGAAAAACCTGAAAAATCAAAAATATTTTCTTTTATTGAAAATTAAAAATACAAAAAGATTTTGTTGCAGTTTGTCCTTAATTTTTTGAAAAATTACAAAAATACCAAAAGTATTTTTCATTTTTTTAGTTTTAACATGTGTATTGTGAGTTTTTTCAAGTTTCAAATACGAAGGATTCATGCATCTGGTTTTGAAGGAAAGGTATGATCTTGATACATTTTGGATTAGTTAGGATGTCCCTAGAAGCATGTTGTTGCATGTTGTCTCAAGCCTCGAATGATTCTATGTATGAGAGATGAAAGCCTTGATGAAATTATCTCATGAAAATTTCTACCCAACAAGGCTTGTATTTGCATAAATCAACAAGAGCTACCTTACTCTTCTCAAATGAGTTAAGAGTTTTTTGTTTTGTCCAATATAATAAAGGTACCCTTCGATTCTTAACCAATCTTTTTAAACCAAACAATTCTTACATTCCAAATATTCGAAGATTTGTCCTTGAGGTCTTTTATCAAACCAATCAAAACCTAGACAAATCACAAATCTGTCTTTATGATCTAATATCATGAGTCCGTGATAGTAGTGAAACCCAAAATATCATAAACCTTAAGGAATTGACGGGGAACCATGTTCCAGATCTTACGAAACATTTGTTTCAGTACCTTTTATACTCCAAATCATATTCATTTCTTTTGAGTGATCTTAATCAAACATTCGAAAACTACGATGTTTGTTCCCAACAAGATCCATCATAAATGTTTTTTTTATGAATATGATTTTCGTGTGAGTATATTTTCAAAATACTAGTTACTTTGCATATCATTCGCAACCAAGTTGTTACTAACTACACTGGTTATACAACTAATTTTGTTTACAATTTCTCACCTTATTTTAAGGTTGATATGTAACGAAATTTTCGAAGTCACCCATTTGACCTATAAAAGAAACCCTTCGAAACTTCTCTACAAGTTATCGATTGTAATTCACGGGAAACCGAACAAGCTGTTAATTATCTCTCTTGATAATTTTCAAAGATATATTTGCCTGGGATAAAATTGTTTTTTGTGTCAAACAAAGAAATTGTTGACATCACAAGTTTTCAAAAGTTTTTTTTTCCTTGTTTCTCATCTAATTTCTTTTGGAACACAGCACACACGAAATCCTTGAGGTTTGAGTAACACCAACTTAAACTGACGATTTTGAAATTCTGGCAAATGACTTCGCTTTTTTAAATCTCAAAGTGAAAGAGCCTGACCTCTATTCCGAAGGTATCCGACGGTTACAATTCTTTTGTGGAATACCAAATAGTCCTATCTCTTGATGACGCATGGTGTATGATAAGCGTGAACGGCGTTTTGACAGTTACGATTGTTACTTTTTGATGAGTATGTTCCGTTTTTCAAGGTGCCATGTCAGCAAGCATTTAATGCATCCCGCTTCAAATTCAAAATTCTAGGGTTACATATAAAAGGGCAAATTAGAACTCATTCACACTTTACGCGATCAAACTCTCTGAAATACAAAATTCTCTGTGCAATTCATTTTCTTCATAAGTTCTTTACTAAAGTCATCATCAATGGCGACTACTTCATCACCAACTACAGACGAAATAATCAGTGTTCCGATTCTAAAGTTCTAGGGTTCCAATTATCAAGTCGAATCAGATTTGTCAAAGTATCCGGAGGAACTTCACATGCTTGTGGTTGCTTTACAGAATTCAGTTCTGTCTAAAGCAATGTTTGATTCATTTGCTGCTCCAATGTCCTGGCTGTCAAAGGCGGGTTCTACTGCATCATACAACAAGGAGACAGGCTATGTGGAATTCACAATGGTTAATGATATGAGAATTAATTCCGAATTCTGGTCCTTATGATGAACTTTCTTCTTCACAAGTGGTGTTCATGTTCAACGAGATGGGTCATCAACCTCCATTGAAGCGAATCAGTGATTTCAAGAAGTCAGGGTTACCAACAATCTAGAATTTTTTATTTGGCATCTTTCTTCGATGTCTTACTGGAAGAACTGTGGGGCTTGATAAAGGAAGGATGGAGGTGTATGCAATGATAGCTGGTTTGTACTATGATTTGCAAGTCGATTACTCTGAACAATTATGGACAGGGTTCTTAACAAGCATTTCAACGACAAGTGCTAAGCAGGGGATTTCTTGTGCACGATATTGGAGTCTGATAGTCCAATATGTCTATCAGAAGGAAAAAAATCGAAGTTCCGGAATACGAAGACAAAGCAGTTTTCCACATGTATGGTAGTCCGAAGGAGGTGCATGATGATCTGGCTATCTTTACCACAGTTGCTCGCATTCCGGATGCAATGCTCAAGAAGGTGGATCCCACGAATAATGTGTTGGTGTCATATTTGCAATTTATTGACACAACCGTTGTTACTGGGATGTTACAACAAGAAGAGAAGAACAAGTCAAAGAAATCAAAGAAGACAGAGGGTGAGTCTTCGGAAAAAGGGGTGAAAGCATAACAAAAGAAGCAAGAGCTAATAGTTACATCTAGAACTGTCGAAGAGGTGTCTCCTGTTTTAACTTTAGTGGCTGATACACCGGTTATCAAAGCCTCTCCAACAAAAGACACAATTCCTGCGAAGACGGGGGTTTTTCAAAGACTAAAAATCAAGAGCAAATCTTAGTTGGTGAAGAAAACACAGGTTACTCATCAAGGGGTTACTGTTCGAGAAATTCTAGCTCCGGTGTCTCCATCTTCTAAGAAACGAAGGGTTGCAGATATGGAAAAAATTTTAAAGAAAACCCAACGTATAGAAGAAGTAGATCAAGTTCCTGAGACTCCTGAAGATGAAATTCCTAAAGAAGTAGAGATTCTTCAGTCTACTGAAATTTCGAAGCTTGATGATATAAAACTCATTAAACCAACATCTTTACCTCCGGTTACTTCCACAACTGATTCTCCAACATTCCAATCTATTATGGATCAACCTTTCACCACTATATTCTCAACACAATCAACCGATCCACCAAATTCATCATCACCTGTTGCTGAAACCATGGCTGTTGATGAAGAAACTGATAACGAAGGATTTGGAGGAACATTCGAAGCTCTTTCCTTTGATAAAGCTGAAGAAGATTTCCCTGACCATATGCTGATGACGATGAAGCAGTTCAAGATATTGAATTCAAAATTAAATTCTATCTTGCAATCTCAAGCGGATGTGGGAAGTGCTGCAATCACTATCAAGGAAGTTGATTCCATAATGAAGGAAATGGAAAGCAGGATGATTTCGAAGGCATCAGGGTTAATACGTGATTCTGAAAGCCGCATTCTTGAGAAAACTGATCAGAATGATAGTTCTACAGAGAATAGAATCAATTCTCTGAGATCTGATTTTCTGAAGGAAGTGAAGGATTTGAAGACTGTTACGAAGGAGCGTCATGTGCTCTTCGTACAGGAAGTTAAGAAGGTTCGAGAAGATGTTAATATGCAAATTCGTGAACTTCGTGAAACAATGACGAAGGAGGTTCAGCATATTCAACAAGGGTATGAATCAGCACATCAGAAGATCGACATTATTTGTGATGCGGTCGTTCAGTGTGTTCAGATGTTCGAACAAATCAATCCTCAGATGATCTCTCTTTCAGCCACAGAAGAACAACATTTTGGAGAGTTGGTGAAACTGCTGAAAGAACTCCACGAAATATCTTCGAAAGTTTCTTCACCAATTATTTCTCAAGAATTTCTTTCTCAGAAATTCATTCATTTCAAAGCCATTCTACAAAAACACCTTGCTCCATTTCTTCGAATTTCAAGCCTTTTGCCAAACGTATCAAATACCCCACCTGCTGTCACAGGGGTGCAAGGGGGAGAAAAGGTTGGTCAAGCAAAGGCTGGGGAACATGAGAAGAAAACTGAAGATATGAAGGTGGTAGGAAAGGTTTATCCTTCGAAAGTTGTTGTTAAGCCAACAATTGTTTCATCTACTCTAGTTATTTCAACTGTGACTACAACTGTTCCAATTTCAAGACCTATTGCAAAAAGGATTGTAATTGTGAATCAAAGTGATGTCTCTTCGTCAAAGAATGTAGATCCTTCAAATGATAAAGACAAGGGAAAAGGAGTTTTGGTTGAGAAGTCTAACAAAGAGAAGAGAGCTGAGGCGGCAGCTGAAATTGAAAGAATGAGGCAAGTTCAAAGTATAATGCGACAAAGAGCTCTAGAAGGTTCGAATGTTGATAAGGGCGATCCTTCAAAAATTTACAATTACGAAACAATAGAATCCAGGGTGATGTTCGATCACATGTATTCTTTTAAAAGATTCTGAAGAAGAGCTTTGTGGTGACAAATACTGATTTTGGTCAACTTGATTTTCCAATCAACGAAATGATGTTCATTATGCCACAGTTCAAGGCTGAGACAAAGTCTATGGATACCGAAGAGGGAAAGAAGTTGAAGATATGTTTTCATGCGGTATTAGTAAGGCTCAAGAAGAAGTTTGGTTCTTGGAGAAAATTAAGAAGGTGATATCTATAAATATGGATGTCATTTTCGAAGAGAAGTTTTCAAAATGTAAAATATGTTGTGGCAAGGGCGAGTGGAAAGATACAAGAGTTTACTGTGGCGGACTTTCCATTGATGAACACTTATGATCTTATCAATGTTGCCCTGATACTTAAAGACAAGTCATTCTCTTTTCTCCGAGATACAGAACCAGATGTTTTCAGTCTTGGGTGTACGCATATAAAAATATTCTTGGAGAATTATTTTGAGTGCTTAGCTCAAACTGATGTTGAACTTGCTACTGTTAAAGGCTTTGAAATAACTGCACCAATGGCTCCTACGAAAAAGCAGGTTGAGTTGAAAAAATACGAAGATGGTGAAATATGTTTAAAGCCATTGGGGATTGTCTTTGCATGAAAGGATAAAGCTGGAAGAGCTAAAAGATTTTTGTTTCAAACTTCTAAAGTGGAGAGATATACAAATTCACAATATACGAACTTAATTGTTCGTATGAATCATTGCAAGAAGAACTCAGAAAGAGACAAGAAGGAGATAAAGAAAGTTATATCCTGGTATACGGAAATCCGAAGAGTGTTGATGTATGTCGTTCAATTACTAACTTCATGAAGACTTCGACATTTATTCCAAAGGGGGAGATTGTTAGAGTTTAAATGTTGTAATATGTCGAAGTGTTAGTTGTTGCGAAGGGTCTTTAGTCTTCGTATGAAGATTCTTCAGAAGTAATGTTATTTTTACTAAGGCATTATAATGAATAGTCTTAATGTCTAGTCCTTAGTATTTTTGTTATGCTTTTGTTCTCCTATATATAGGGGTCTGTACTAAGTGAGTAGGAACTTCACAAAGACTTTACAGAATATTCTTTGTACTCTGTAAAATCATGAGCATAATATGAGCTGAACCAAGATTATATTTACTCTCGTGATCATCGTTTTTCTTCTTTCTGAATTCTTACATGAATTGATCTTAAACTCGATTACAAATCTCATCAGTAGGTTTAACCTTCCCATCCTTGACATCTTACAAGTAATGTCATAATCCAACTTGCCAAATATTTGAAGGTAGGTAAATGATGATTTACCAATTTCCACCATGAAAAATGAAATGGCTATTAGGTTTTAATTGGATTGAAACTCCTAGATCCTTTGAGATTCATTAAACAATTTAATGGCATGTTTAAATCTCTATTATACCCTTCAGGTTTGTGACTGGGATGTCGAGGATCACAAACAAGGTGTGAATAACCATGCAAATTAACTTGGTACTCTCGACTTTATCAACTAATCAATGTGCCGGTTAACCACACATGCTCCATTTATCTTATAATAAACATCAAGCTACCTTTTTCCACCATTACTAGTCCATGTTAGTGTGCCGGTTAATCACACACGCTCCACTAATGACTTGGTAAGGTGCAAAGTGAATTTCATGGATTAGCATCAATTTCACATTTTCCTGAAGTAACTAAGATTGGGAATTTAATAAAACATTTAGTTACTTTATTACTATCCATATACTTAATGAGAATTATAGTCCTATCCTACCAATTCGGCTAACGACCCTCCACCAGTCAAGAAAGCGGTGGGTGAGAGTGGACACCCATTAATCTGCCATTTTATAGGCATCAACCTTATACCCACTTATAGTCTGACTTCGTGAATGAGTCCTACTAATGGTAAGACTAACTTGTCTTATACATACATACATATATATATATATATATATATATATATATATATTAAACCTATAATATTATAATAGTATAAGGGTTGAATTTTAAACAATTAAAATTCTAGGGTTTGGAATTAAAGTATTCTAAAGTGACTTTACAAATTCCAAAAGTTTAGGGCATGTTTTGAAACTTGTCAAAACTTTTCAAGTTCATAACCTATTAGTTTTAATGAGTTTTAAGGAAAATACTTTTGGAATTCCATAACTTGAGGAAAGGTTATGGAGTCCATTAAAAGGAATTTAGATCAATAATTAAACTAACAAGCAAGTGTTAAATAATACTATCTACCAAAAACTCATAAGCATGGATAATTCAAATCAACAATTTTCAAGAATCATATAAACTAACATAAAACTTGAAACTTTTACAATTATCTTTTAAATTAGATTAGCATGATCATTACCACATCAAAAATAGGTTTACAAGTTCAAAAATAGTTTAGGGTAATGATCCTAGTCCAATTCCAGCCTTAAAAATAGAAAATATGCAATCTGGAGCACCAACTCGTCAAGTGCATGAACTGACTCGGCGAGTTGGATGAACATATGCTTGGACTCGACGATTCCCCCAGTGGACTTGGCGAGTCCACTGTCCAGATAGCAAAAAAATTGATTTTTCAAGTTACAAACACAAGTTGCATCAAGCATAATTGAAAACACGCCTAGGATCATATACCACTAAAGGGTTTTAAGCATTCTAACACTCCTAAGGTGTGCATGCAACCCTAGAAACCTTGGATCTATGTTTTCTCTATTATACATGAAAACTTTCATTTTTCCAAGGTTTCATCCTAACTAGCATATCATGAAGTGTATGTAATACAAAAATCTAGTAGAATTGCATACCTTTTCATGTAGCTTGATTCCTTGAGCCTTTAAGAGCCTAACACCCTAAGTGTGATGCCTCAAATGTTTCACACAACACCACCAACAAATGGAAGAACTTGAGAGAAGTATCCTTGCACTCAAAATCGGCTAGCCCTCTTTTCCTATCACTTAGGTGCGAATTTTGGTAGCCTTAGGGTCTCTTATATATTGTGGCAAGCTAGGATTACACATGTAAACCCTAATAACCTTCCATATCCCTCATGCTCCATGGGTTAAAAACTCCATGGAGTATCCATTGGTCACCACATGGGTTTAGCCCAACATGAAGAACTATGGATCATTAGCCCACTTTATAAGAATGAATGATTTACCAAATCAACCACTTATATTTAATTAGTCTCTTTTGATCACAAAATTAATTCCAAAATAATTCTTTATCAACACTAATTAAATAATATGATTTCATATTAATATATTAGAACTTATAATATATTAATAAATCATAGATATCCTCTTCTCAAAAGTCCATCCTTTAGATTGTTCCGGTGCCATCAAACCCAAGTAGACCACGCTACTCTTGCTTCAAGTACATACCAATTATAGTTATGGGCTTAAACCCTAGATCCCACACAATCCTCACTGCTGGCTGCCTTATGCATGTGAATTATACTTCGTGAGGCGTGAGACTCATGAAAAGCTTGAACCTCGCATTGAGTGGTGTATTTTCATTGGCTACCCGTAAAAGTCCTTTGGTTATCTCTTCTATAGACCGATTGACAATGTTGTCTTCGTTGCGAGGAGAGGGAACTCATATTCTAAATGGTCAGTGGGAGGAAAATTGACCTTGAAGAACTTCAAGAGTTGAGTGGTGAAGGAACATCAAACACTAGCTATCAACCTGAGGAGGAAACTCCTGTTGAACCAGTTGACGAGTCCGTACCTCTGAAGTGTTCCAGTAGAGTTAGTGTTCCACCTATGTATTATGGTTTCCATATAACATCTGAGGGTGACACATTTATCAGTGATAGCTCACTGGTAAATTTGGATGAACCTAGCAGCTATACGGAAGCAATGGCAGGCCTCGAGTCTACGAAATGGAAAGAAGCAATGGACAGAGAGATTCAGTCCATGTATAACAATCATGTTTGGAACTTGGTTGACAATGTACTGGGTTGTAAGACAGTCGGGTGCAAATGGATCTTCAAGAAGAAGACTGACATGGATGGAAAAGTACACACATATAAGGAACGACTGGTTGTGAAGGGCTTTACTCAAACTCCATGATTTGACTATGATGACACCTCCTCACCAGTAGTGAAGATTATGTCTACTGGGGTTGTGTCTAACCATAGCTGCATTTCATGAAAAGTAAATATGGAAAATTGATGTCAAAACCGCTTTCCTTAATAGAAAGTTGGCTCAAGATGTTTACATGAATCAACCAAAGGGTTTCGTCAATGCAAAGTACCCTAATAGAGTGTGTAAGATTGAGAAATCCATTCATGGATTAAAACAAGCATCTCGCAGATGGAATCTTTGTTTCGATGAGAAAGTCAAAGAATTTGGATTTTCGAGAAGCGAGGATGAGTCCTGTGTATATGTTAAGGCTAGTGGGAGCATAGTTAGCTTTCTGGTGTTGTATGTGGATGACATACTACACATAGGAAATGACATCCCAACCTTACAGGAGGTTAAGTCCTAGCTTGAGAAGTGTTTTGTTATGAAGGACCTCAGAGAAGCTACCTATATTCTGGGAATACGTATATTGAGAGACATGAGTAAAAGACAAATTGGACTTAGTCAAAGTACCTACTTGGAAAAGGTGCTGACACGGTTCAACATGCAGGATTCCAAGAAAGGTGACTCACCGATCCAACACAATGCTAGACTGCTCAAGGCTCAGTCCGAGTACAAAGGTTGAGATCGCTGAAATGAGTCAAATACCATATGCATCCGTTGTTGGCTCGATTATGTATGCTATGACTTGTACTCTCCCTGATTTGGCCTTTGCTTTGAGCATGGTTAGTAGATATCAGGGGAATCCTGGTAAGGCTCACTAGACTGCGGTGAAGAACATTCTAGAGTACCTCTAAAGGACTAAGGACTGGGTTCTTACTCTTGGTGGGAATGATGAATTAAGAGTGACAATGTATAGTTATGCCAGCTTTCAGACCGACAGAGATAATTTTCAATCTCAGTCGGGCTACGTATTTACCCTAAATGGAGGAGCAATTACTTAGAAAAGTTCCAAGCAGGGGATTGTAATTGATTTAACGTGCGAATCAGACTACATAGTAGCAAGCGAGGCGGCAAAGGAGGCAATATGGCTGAAGAACTTCACCGGAGACCTTGGAGTGGTAGCAGCTATAAAGGATCCTATGGAGATTTTCTGCGACAGCGAAAGTGCAGTTGTCTTAGCCAAGGAACCAAGGGATCATGGTAGGTCCAGACACATCGACATAAAATATCACTTCATAAGACATGAAATAGAAGAATTACTCCTCGTGGCAAAGAGGGTATCATCATATGAGAACCCGACGGATCCCTCACGAAGGGATTGAGTAGGGTTAAGCATTTACAACATGCGAGGTGCATCGGGCTGAAGGATGATATTAGTTTTAATGATTAGATAGCTATTTTGAAACTTGACATAGATAAACTATAATTGAAATTGGATGCTTAAATAACAGGTGCTTTTTATTTACTAGTATGGTACTGTCTCATGTCAATTGTTTACTATTGTTTCATTTTGCATGTCTTGACTTCCAAAGTAATTGGAATATTCAAACCATCTTCAGTCGATCATACTTTGGAAGTAGGTATTGAATCAAGACAGTCATGAATTTGGCTTGTAGATTGTCAGAAATGGTTAGACATTGATATAACATTCATGAGTGCTCATAAGGTCTGAGTATTGGATTCAACCCACGCTCACTTGCATCACTTCATGGAATTTATCTTGAGTGATCGTGACAGGGTAAAATCATATAATCTTCAAACCAAGAGATACGAGTTGTTGACTATGAGTTGGTTGTACATTGATAGTATGAAAACGCAACAGTAACTTAAAGCTATAAAACATGCTATTATGTATGATTTGACGAGTAGTTAGTACAAGCACATGAGTCAAAGTTTATATGTTCCTTTTAGTCCTTGGAGGATTAAAAGCGATATATTGGGCCCCTCGATGATTTTCTTTTGACTTATGTGTCAGGCCTGATCATAACTAAATTGATGTGTTCGATTAAGTTCTATGTCAAGCAAAT